GACCCAACAGCTGCTGGAGCGGAAACGGGTCCTCCAAGAGCTGCGAGCGAACTCAGAGGAGGAGCGAGCCGCCCGCCTCCGCACAGGTTAGCCCTCCCAGGGGAGGGGCCCCACCGTGTCACTGCCCCCACCGGGCATCCTAACCAGCATCATTGCTTACAGCACGCATCCCGCTGGACGCTGTACGGGCCGAGTGGGAGAAGACCTGTGGCCCCTACCACAAGCAGCGTCTGGCTGAGTACTATGGCCTCTATCGAGACCTGTTCCATGGTGCCACCTTTGTGCCCCGAGTCCCCCTGCATGTGGCCTATGCCGTGGGTGAGGACGACTTGATGCCTGTGTACCTCGGCAATGAGGTCACACCCACGGAGGTAACTGCTCTCTCGTCCCCCTTTCCCACACTGTGTGTACAGACATGTCTCACCACAGGACCACAGACAGCTTCTTTTTGATAAGTACTTACAGAGGTGGTTTTTATGGTGGTTAAGAGCATAAGCATGGTACCTGTGTAGGCCGGTTTGGGGTTCTGTTCTCCGTCTCCCCCTTTTGGTTTCCTGGTAAAGAGCACCACGGTGATTACGAAGGAAGGAATATAAGATGAAAAGAAGCTCCATCTTGGCGTGCTCCTGCCACTAACCCCTGCGCATTGATGTGCGGGCCACCTTGTGGTTCAGAGGGAGCGCTGGCCAGGCAAATGTGCGGGTTCCTTCTATGCGCTTCTCTTTGCTGACCTGCCCCCTCAAAGGACCGTCAGGGGCATTTGAATCAGGGTGGGCTCTCCCTTCTCCAAAGCTCCCTCAGATTCCTGCCCTCCAGAAGGTCGGTTTACAGCAGCTTGTCTGTCCCTGGTGGGGGTGACACCGTCCCTGTTTTCTCCCCATCAGGCTGCCCAGGCCCCGGAGGTGACCTTTGAGGCAGACAAGGGCTCCATGTGGACACTGCTGCTCACCAACTTGGGTAGGTGTCTGGGGCTCACACCAGGCCGCTGCCTCCCTCACCTCCCAGAAGCCAGGGCTCTGGGGAGCTGGGGCGGGGCCAGGGCCAAGGGCAGCAGGGCCCGGCAGTGAGTGGGGTCTCTTTGTGTGCAGACGGACACCTGCTGGAGCCAGATGCCGAATACGTCCACTGGCTGGTGTGAGTACCTGGGCGGGGGGAGGGGTCAGAGACGTGTGAGGAGGCGCTTGTGTGCTGGAAAGAGCTGCACCTGAATGTCAGTCTCGGCTCCACCAGGGATTGGCGGTGGGATTTTGGTTTAAACCTCCACCCCATCCCCGCCACCCCCCAGGTGGCAGCCTGCACTTCTGCTTCCGGATGCTGTCAGGAGCCCTGTAATCCACTGGCTGACGACAGGTCCGGAAGAAAAAGCAGGCAGTAGGCCTTGGCTGTTCTCACAGGCCTCTTGTCTCCCTGAACTCATTTCCTCATCTGGAAATCTAGGGCAATGCCACCCCAAGCCTTAGCCACCCTGAGGGGCTCTGTGACAATCAGATGGGAGAAGTACGGCGAGAGGCCTCTGCAGCTGTGGCCGCCCAAGCTGGGCTTCTTCTGTTTTCTCAGTGGCCTTTGGCTCTGGCGCCAGTGTGGTGGAGGTCAGGCGGCTGACCCCAGCTTTGGGACTTCTGGGTGATTGGGGCCTGTGACCAGGGGCTGGTTTCTATCATTTTTAGTCAACTGCAGTTACCAGTCTGAGCAGAGGGACTCTCTGGGGAGTTCTGTGTGGGGCAGGTCAGTGGCCATCATGGTGTCGTGATGGGCAGACGCTCCCTGACAAACCCCGGAGCTTTCAGGAAACAGAGATGCAGCCCAGAGCCGGTGTGGCTCTCCAGCCGGCCCCACTGGCTCGCTGCGGCCTAGTAAACGGTCTGCTAGACCTCACTCTCTCCCTGACCATCTGGAGGACACCCATCCCCAGCCTCGGAGCCCCTCCTGTTCCCTTCACAAGTTTGGAATCTATCCAGGGGGTCCCAGAGCTGGGCCTCCTACTTGACTGTCGGATGAAGATCATTTAGGGTTTGTCCTCCCAGGAAGTGGCATCAGTCTCTAGGGAACATGCGGATGGAAATCTCCCGCTGCCACCTTCCTTGATAATTCATGGATACTTTTCCTTCCTCCAGAACCAATATCCCAGGCAACCGCGTGGCTGAAGGACAGGAGACTTGTCCATACCTGCCCCCCTTCCCTGCCCGCGGCTCCGGCTTCCACCGCTTCGCCTTCCTGCTTTTCAAGCAGGATAAGCCAATTGACTTCTCTGGGGACACCCGGCCCTCACCCTGGTAATCTCCCCCTTCCCACCCCGCAAACACATTCTCTCCCCTCTCGGGCCACCTTCCCGAGGAGTGGTCTGTCCTGCTCGGTTCGGTCTTTTAATTTGGGCTTGAGGTGGGCAGCAGGGTAGTTGTGCTAGGCAGATCCTAAGGGGCTTCTCAGGATTCCCTGTGGGGCTGCAGGAGGGGTGTGGGGCTCTGAGGCCCCATTCCCTGCTCTTAAATGCTCCCCATCTTCTTATAGCTACCAGCTTGCCCAGCGGACCTTCTATACTTTTGATTTCTACAAGAAGCACCAGGAAGCCATGACACCAGCTGGCCTGGCCTTTTTCCAGTGCCGCTGGGATGATTCGGTCACCCACATCTTCCACCAGCTTTTGGGTAAGGCCAGAGTGGGCTGGGGGTGGGGCAGGGGCAGCTGGCCTGAGCTCACAGGCCTCTCCTGACCTGAAGGGAGAAGTGCCACTGGCAGGCACGCCACTCCTTGGGTGGGCGGGCTGGGCAGTCGCAGGCTAACAGACGAGGGAAAGGGGCTCAGTCCAGCGTCAGTCCACACCCGTACCCCCTCTTCCTACAGACATGCGGGAGCCTGTGTTTGAGTTCGTGCGGCCACCCCCTTACCACCCCAAGCAGAAGCGCTTCCCCCACCGGCAGCCCCTACGCTACCTGGACCGGTACAGGGACAGTCACGAACCCACCTATGGCATCTACTAAGTGGCTAGAGTGCCACCCACCTCAGAAAGCAGAGTAGGCCTCGGGATCCACCAGCAGGGACAATAAAGACAGCTCCACTTCGCGGGGCTGTGGGCTTCTAGGCCCTGCCTGAGGCAGCCCCTTTGTGGCCCTCCCAGCAGGGCCAGGGTTTGGGAATGAAAAGAGCTCTCCGGGAGTGGTGGCAGGGGTGGGACATGTGAATAAAGATGATTTTTGCTGTAGCTAGTCTGGATCTGTGTTCTGGGAGCGCTCCAACCCCACGATGGCTCTGTAATCCTCCATGGATGGAAAGAGAACTGCCTCCCGCCTCAGGAGGTGAGCCCCTCAACTCTGCCTCTGAAGGGTGTCGCGCCCTGAGATCAGGGGGCTGGAGACGGGTCCAGAAGAAAGGCAGCGGGGCTTGGCTGCTCCCACAGAGCTCTTGAAAGAGCTTTGCCAGCCCTGAGCATTGGTTCTTTGCTGGGTATTCACAGCATGGTTGGTGGCGGCTCCCAGCGACAGGCTGGGGTGCTCTGAGCAGCAGGTGTGAGACCTCTGAGCACACCCAGAAGCCCCCGTACCCTTCTGTGTGGTTAGTGTGTTTTTTCTCCTCTCTCTAAGTAGCCAGTCAAGAGGAGACCTACCTTCCCCGTATTACAAGACAGAAGATGGAGTGCTGCATTGCAGCGAGAGGGAACCCTGCCTCAAAATTAGGCCAGGTTAGAAAAACAAGAATTAATCCTCTGTCAACTCCCTGTGGCCCAGCGCACTGCCCCAGGGCAGGTGGGTTAGACCCAGAATCCCTCTCCTCTGCTAATCCTCTATAAAAAGTGAGGTTCCAGGGGCGTCTGGGTGGCTCAGGTCATAATCCTGGGGTCCTGGAATCAAGCCCTGCATTGGGCTCCCTCTCCTTCTGATACACCCCCACCCCTTGTGTGCTCACTCTCTGCTCTCTCTTTCCTTCAAATCTTTAAATTAAAAAAAGAGGGGCGCCTGGATGGCTCAGTGGGTTAAAGCCTCTGCCTTCGGCTCAGGTCATGATCCCAGGGTCCCGGGATAGAGCCCCGCATGGGGCCCTATGCTCAGCTCGGAGCCTGCTTCCTCCTCTCTCTCTGCCTGCTCTCTGCCTACTTCTGATCTGTCAAGTAAATAAATAAAATCTTTAAATTAATTAATTAATTAATTTTTAAAAAAGTGAGGTCCCAGAACTCCCCACCTGCGAACAAGGAACTCCCCAGCAGGGGGCCCCCAGGGAAAGTGGATTCCAAGAGCAGTTGAACTGTGGGGGGTGTGAAAAAAAACACTCGATGGGTCTCTGTGTTGGTGACCAGAAATTTCCACCTCACTGTTTACTTTAAAAGCACCAAAGTTTGGCGCAGCTTAGAGAAAGGAGACACCCCAATCTGGCAGATGGCTGAAACAGCACAAGGAAAAGGGCCGCGGAGCACTTCCTGGCAGGAGAGGCCGCCAAGGAGCTCAGCCCTGTGCCCAGCGCTCTCGGACCGGGCGACCTCGTGCAGTCTCCTTTCATCGCCAAAACTGCCGGGAAGTAGCTGCTGTTGTCCAGGTTTCCAGATGGGGGGCCCAGAGGGGTTGCGTGGGGGACTTCAGCCAGGAAGAGGCTCCGAAGCCCAACGGGCTTCCCAAAGTTTCTGGTACCTGGAGGCGGGGCCGCTCCCCTACACAGGAGCTGCTTAGAAGGTCTGGGGGAAAGGGTGGCGCTCCCAGGGTGGGACCACCGACAGGCGGACCCCAACTCCCACCCTGGGGCGGCGTGACGCAGCAAGGGTGGCTCGGAGCCCGGACAAACGGAAGAAACTGGGAGCCCCGAGGGCCCAGGTCGGTGGTAGGGGAGGCGACAGCCGCTCGGCTCCAGCTAGACGCGCCCTCGCTCCTCCCGCCGGCTCTCGGGGGAGCCCGCGCCCCGCGCCGCGCCCCGCTGGGCCCGCCCCTCGCCGCCCCGCCCGCCGGACCTCGGAGGCCCCGCCCCTAGCCCCGGCTGCTTTCGGAAGCACGGGCCCCCGCCTGCAGAGCTGCGCTGAGGCCTCAGCCATGGCCGAGCCGCGGCTGGAGGACGTGCTGACCTGCTCCATCTGCCTGGGGCTCTACGTGGAGCCGGTGACGCTGTCCTGCGGCCACAACTTCTGCGGGGCCTGCATCGGGGACTGGGGACGCGGCTGCGACAAGGTGTGCCCGGAGTGCCGGAAGCCCTTCCCCGACGGCGCCGAGCTGAGCCGCAATGTGGCGCTCAGCGCGGTGCTCGAGGCGATGCGCGCCGGGCCCGGCCCGGACTCGGCCCCCGCCTCTGGCTCCGCCCTGGGCGCGCGCTGCCCCCGGCACGGGCGGCCGCTCGACCTCTTCTGCCGTACCGAGGCTCGCTGCATATGCAGCGCGTGCACCGTGAACGAGTGTCTCCTCCACGAGCGGGCGCTGCTGGACGATGAGCGTCGGGAGCGCGAGGTGACACCGGGGTCCCCTGCCCTGTCTCTCGGCGCCCAGGCTGGGGCGGGCAGCTTCAGCAGGAGGAGGCTTTGGGATGTTTGTGTGTGTTCCCGAATAAAAGGGGAAAACAGGTGCTTGGAATAGAGATTTCGGAGATGGTGACAGGCCCAGGGTTGCGACCCCAGCACGGAGGGGCTGAAATGGAGTGAAGGAAAGGGCTCTGCAGGCGAGTAGGTTGGCGTGTGGGAGGGCGCCCCTGTGGCTTCAGAAGTCACAGAGAATGACGGTGAGATGTCACCGCTGAGGCTCTGGGCATGCAAGTGGGCAGCGCAGGCCAGCAGGTGACAGCAACAGGGAGGGAGGGAGTGGCAGATGGTACAAGCAAATGGCACGTGCAGGCTGAAGGGGCATGTGCACGCCCAAGGTGTGAGAGGACAGATGCACATCCCAGGGGGACAGTCAGGTGGAACTAGGAGGGTGCCCCTCCCCACTTCCTGCCTGTGGCACGTTGTACAGTGGGGGAGGCCATGGGCCTGGACAGAGACAATGGGTCTGGCAAGATCTGACAGCTCCGGCCAGTTTATCAACTTCTCTGTCCTGTTTCATCATCTGTGAAGTGGGGATCTTGATGGCCCTTGACTCATAAAGAAACTGTGGCCTGGAAAAGCAGAAGCGAAAGACTCTTGACCAGGGGCGGCGAATGCTGCTTTGTCCTGCTCCCATAAAAGCACAACACTCTGACCCTCCAGGGTACCAGAGGAGTCACAAATAGGGGTGAACTCTTCTCCCGCATGCCCAGAGCTGGGGCTGAGGTCTGGCTGGGCATCTGGAAGAACCCAGCCTGTACGTGGGCCACGCTGCCTGCTGGTCAAATAGCTTCGGTGCTTGGACCTGTCACCCCTTCCCTTCAAGGCTGCGGACCCGGGAGTGTGGCTCCCACCATTTACTGACGGGGGTAGTGCGGGGTGTTGACAGCCCAGAGACCGTGGGTGCTCTCTCCAGGTTGCTCAGCCTGCAAGAGAACTGGAGGCCAGGCTTAAAGCCCACGGCCTCCGCTCTGCCTGTGTACCTCCCCGCTCCGGGTTGGGAGTGGGCTCTGCCTGGGTCTCCCGGGGCCTCTGACCCCGTTCACGCCTGTCTCAGACCGGGGCCAGTCCACTGGTCAGTCTTGCCTGGGGTGGCACGAGGAGGGGATGCCCCACATCCCTCCTGTTTGTTGACTGAGGGGAGGACTTCACAGCTACCCCTGGTCCCCTCTTGTCACTTCTTCCCTGGTGGGCACCCAGGCCCAGCTGAGAGCCACGCTGGAGGTCGGCCAGCAGCAGGTGACGCAGGTGGAGAGGCGGCTGGAGGAGCTGCAGCGGCAAAGCGGGCAGATCCAGGTACCGGCGCACCTGCTCCACCCCCTGCGTGCTCAGGCTGCGTCCTGTGGGCAGCCCCAGGCACTCCCAGGACACTGGGTGGTAGGTGCGAGCTGCCTTGAAAACACCTCTGGGCAGCGGGGAGGGAGAGACCGAGCAGCGTCGGGGGAAAGGTTCCAGGGGCCCTGGCTCCCCACATCCCCACCCCTCGGCCCAGAGGGCAGCCTTGGCCTGGGCCACCCTAGGCCACCACTCTTTCGCCCGCACAGACCTCGGCCTGCACCCTGGCCTCCGTGATCTCGGGCAAGTTCCGCGGCCTGCTGCAGGCCCTGGAGAAGCGACGGGCCTCGGCACTGAAGGACATCGAGGTGGCCGAGACCCAGGCACTAGCACAGGCCCAGGATGCAGAACAGCGACTGCGGGGCCACCGGGAGGCCTTGGTTCGTTATGACCGCAGGGTCCGGGACCTCCTGCAGCAGCCGGATGACCGCACCTTCCTCCAGGTAGCAGGCCTCAGGGCAGCGGGTTGGGGAGACCAGCGTCCCTGCCCCCAGCACACAGGCTCACTGCAACTGTCCCTGGGGCTCAGGAATCACAGCTCCTGGCCCCCCCAGTGCCTCTTGGGCCTCTGACTCCTCTGAAGTGGGACGAACATCAGCAGCTGGCCGGCCTGAAAGAGTCACTGAGCCAGCTGTGTGGCCTCCTCCTGGAGGAGGGGGACCGCCCCAGGGCACCTGCTGAGGCTGCTGATTCAGGCCCCATGGGTAAGGCTGACCCCACAGCGGGTGGGCTGGGGGGCGGGTCAGAACTCTGCCCACCAGGACTTCCCCGCCATTGCTGCCCTAACACTTCTTTGCCTCCTAGAGGGCCCAGGTCCCCTGGCACCAGTCCCAAGCCCAGTTTGTCCACTGAGGAGGAAACTCTGGCAGAGTAAGGAGACCGGCATGTGTGTGCACAGACGTGTGTGCACTGTGCGTTCATGTGTACACTGTGCGTATGTGTGTGCGTGTCTGGGAGGGTGCGTGTATACCTGGGTGGGGGGGCACATGCCATGACTGCCCTGCCCAGGATGTCTGCCCCATGCCCTTCCCCCTCTGTGCACCTGTCCTAGGAGGACAGCCTCTTACACGTGGACCCAACAGAGCATGTAAGCAGATTCTGGCCCCGCAAACCTGGGCTTGGTTATGATTCTCGCACTAGTTACCAAGTTAGGTTATCTTGGGGCGGCTCAGTTTTTTTCATCTTTGAAATGAGGTGGCTGCCTGCTGTGGGGACATCGCCCCTGGCTGCACGCCTGACAGCCGTGTGGCTTTGCCCTGGCAGAGCTCCATTTGCCATCCCTGCCTCTGGGGACAGGACGGTGAGGGCGCACAGGTGCCTGCCTGCTCACCTTCCCCCCGTCCATCTGTCCCTGACAGATTACCGCAATCTGACCTTCGACCCGGACAGCGCCAATCGCCACCTCTACGTATCTCGGCAGGACCAGCAGGTAAAGCACCGTCACAAGCCCCGGGACCCGGCTGGGCCAGGCAGCTTCGAGCTCTGGCAGGTGCGGTGCACCCAGAGCTTCCAGAATGGGCGACACTACTGGGAGGTGCACACATCTAACCACTCGGTGACTCTGGGCGTCGCCTATCCAGACCTGACGCGGCGCAAGCGGGGGCCCCACACGGACAACATCGGGCGTGGGCCAAGCTCCTGGGGGCTCTGTGTTCAGGAGGACAGGGCGCAGGCCTGGCACAACGGGGAGGCCCAGCTCCTCCCAGAGGTGTCGGGGCGGCTCCTGGGCATGGACTTGGACCTGGTTTCTGGCTGCCTCACCTTCTACAGCCTGGAGCCCAGGACCCAGCGCCTGCATACCTTCCATGCCATCTTCACCCAGCCCCTCTACCCTGTCTTCTGGCTCCTGGAGGGTAGGACTTTGACCCTGTGCCATCGGCCCGAGGCCAGGCTCCCTTCGGAGCTCCAGGAAGAGGCCTTGGAGCCCAGCTGAGGAAGGAACCGGATGGAGCTCTGGGCCAGGAGCAGGTGCCACCATACCTTTGTGCCCAAAACCTGCCCAGACCCTAGCTTGGGGACCTGAGGCCATAGCGATAATGGGACCAGCTTTGGGTCAGAAGATCAACTCAGAACTAGGCTGGGCCACTTGGGAAGAGAGGTTGGGAGGGAGCCCCCAACCGGAGTTCACTCTCCAGCATCACTGAAGGACACGGGGACGAGAAAGGGACTAAAATGGGAGGACCCTGCCCAAGCAGAGCCCACTTCTCCACGCTGCCGCGGCGTTCTGAGGCTGGCGCAGCGCCCGTGGGCTCCTGGTCCTGCAGCCGAGCACTCGCAGTCAGACCTCCCCGCACAGTGTGGTGCGCACACACACTCCACGGCCCGCTGGCCCCCGGTGAAGGTGACGTAGATCAAAGGAGTGGGGCGGTGGGCGGGAGGTTGGCGGCGGGCCACAATGCATGGACAATTCCTGCGGAAAACCTAGAGAAAAGTGATTTTTTACTTCCTTCCTCTTTTTTTTTCTTAACATTTTGGTAGATCTTCGTTGCTTTTGTACATCCTTGTGATTGCATTTTAAAAACACTTGTGTTTTTTGCATTTTTTAAATTTAGCATACCCATTTTTCACGGTATTAATATTTTCCCCTGAATGATAACCATATAAACAGTCTTTCTAATGACCATCAGAATTTATTTCCCTAATACAGGTACCCTCCGCCCTCCAAAAGTTCAAGTTCTGCCGCTTGGCTTTCCTAAAAGACCTGCATTAGCATGGTTCCGGATTTCTTTTGGTTAGTGCGGACAGGTGCCATTGGAGGTCTTTTGTAAAGCAAGGTGGCAGAAGGGCAAACTTGGGCAAGCCAAGGATACTCTCTGCTGTGTGCCCTTTCTGCCTATGAAAGCTCTCGTAAGGACACTCTACTTTTGGATTGCTCAGGGGACCCCATATCAGACATGTTGGCATTGTTTTATTTGGGGCTGTAAAAATTCCACCACGATGCGTATTTCTGAGCAGGAAGCTTTGCCCCTATCCGTGGCTACGTAGGTAGGCTGAGTTCATTGGAGTTACTCAACAGAAACATAAGGGGCACCTGGGTGTCTTGGTTTCTGCTCAGGTCGTGATGTCAGGGTCTGCTTAAGACCCTTTCGCTCTCTCCCTCTACCCCTCCCCCCTTAAATAAACAAAATCTTCAAAAATAATAATAATGATGAGCACCTGAAGATTCTGTTTTGTGTACACGTGGTCAAAATGAAGCAACCTTGAGGCAGGCAGGCCCTCCCTGCCCCCGCTCCGATCAGCCGTCTTAGCTGGGCACAGCCTCAGCCCCTGTCCCCATCACCCAGGGTGTGGGGACTAAGTACAGTGTTGTGTATAGCGCTGGGCCAGCGCTGGCTCCCTTTGTTTTTGTTTTTCCTGCTCAGATGATGCTTTCCTGATGTTACCTGGACATACGTTTGTTAGTGTTTCTGGAAAGTGGGCGCTGGGACCTAGAGCAGCTGTAATTCTGTTACTCAGAACACTTCACTTCTTGATCTGGGTGGTGGTTACAAGGATGTTGGCTTTACAACTGTTGGTGCTATACGTGCATTTTTACATACTCGTGAATAATTATTTTGCAAGAATTTTTTTAAAGGATAACACATGCAATCCCGTGGCCCCAGCTGTGGCCCCCAGCCGCACGCCCCATCCTACAGGTGCCTCCCCAGCCTGTGGCTCTGTTCAAGGGCGGGGCCAGGCTTCTGGTCAGTACAGCCCGGGCAACAAGCTTCGAGGAAGACTCCGAAGTTGGGGACTCCCTGGACATGGGGAGGGGGCTCTCGCAGTGCACATCCTGACCAAGTGACAGCAGACAGTCACCTTGCTGCACAGCTGGGCCGACAGTTGCTGAGAGACGCAGCAGCGAGGGAAGCAGGATTGGGCTGGCCCAGTGGCCGGCATTGCTGGCTCTTGCCATGTACAGATTCTGACCATCACCACCCCCAACCCACCCCCTAGCCCAAAGCCCCAGCACGCATGTGTGACAAGCTGTTCCCACACCCTGAAAGGGGGAGAGAAAGGAAGAGAGCCCCCTCTGCTTCTGTGGTGGGAAGGGTTTGGGGTCTTCATTCTATGATACTACGTTTTATCAGGCCGTCAGTCCTTTCCATATTGTTCTGTAGGAATGTTCCTTATTGTGACTGTTGACCTTATTTATGAGATGAGATGCTGCTGGCCTTTTTGTAGACTGTGCTTTTTAAGTAGGCATGGGACAGGCATTTGCAAATTATTGGAAAGCTGCTTCCAAGGAAATGCCCTTAGTTCACCCAGTTCTGCCAGAAGTCTGTTTCCTCTCCAGGAAAAACACATTGGGAGGGGAAAAAAGAGCATGGATTTGGGGGTGTAACATTTGTGAGGGGGATTTGATTAGCCTGTGAGTGTTTCCAAAATCTCTGCCCCACCCATCTAGTATCTGGGCTTCTGTGAGGCCGAATCAGGAGGATAGGCACATAGGCACACCCAGGCGGGGCAAGGGGACAGGAGAGATTTTAAAAGATGCCTCAGGTGCCAGGGGAGTTGAGGGAGTTGGGTTGGAGGTTGCTGTTCCCCAGGCAGGAAGGAATGGGAGGGAACAGCATGGCGACTGTAGGAGATGTGACTTGGAGTATCATGGGACAGGAAGCTAGAAGACTATGGAGCCAGGCTTCCGAGGACAAAGGATTTCCATTCTAGAATTCCATACCCAGCCAAACAGTGTCAGAGCTTGAACAAAGACCTTTGCAGGCACTTTCACATCCATTCTCAGGAAGCCCCCAGAAGATGTGCTTTTCCAAAGTAAAGAAGTAAAGTCAATGAAGGGGAAGGAAGACCTGGGACCCTAGCAACAGGGAGTTCAACACAGAAGAGAAGTGGTAAAGAACTGAAGTTTCCAGAAACTTGAGCATGAACATCCACCAGGATTTTCAAGGCTTACGAGCACATGCTTTGCAGATGAGGTGCTAAATGCTAAAAGTAATAGGTAAGATGTTGAAGCTGGCGGTCATGGGAGCAAGCATCTGGAGCAGCTGGGACACAGAACTGCCAGCTTTTGTTACAAGGCTCATAAAATTGTTTACTTTTTGGAGAAAGAACAGCAAATAAAGCCTAACCCTAGCAGGAGAAGAGAATAAAGATTAGAGCAGAAATCAATGAAATAGAAACCAAAAGAACAGTAGAACAAATCGATGAAACTAGGAGTTGGTTCTTGGAAAAAAATAATAAGCTCGATGACCCCCTGGCCAGACTTATCAAAAAGAAAAAAGATCCAAATAAAATCATAAATGAAAGAGGAGAGATCACAACCACCACTGAAGAAATACAATTATAAGAACATGTTATGAGCAACTCTAGGCCAGCAAATTAGGCAATCTGGAAGAAATGGGTGCATTCCTAGAAACTGAGCTACCCAAACTGAAACAGGAAGAAATAGAAAACCTGAACAGACCCATAACCAGCCAGGAAACGGAAGCAGTTATCAAAATCTCCCAACAAACAAGAGACAATCAGCTTCCCAGGGGAATTCTACCCAACATTTAAAGAAGTAACACCTATTCTTCTGAAGTTGATCCAAAAAAAAAAAAAAAAGAAAAAAAGAAATGGAAGGAAAACTTCCAGACTCTTTCTATGAGGACAGCATTATCTTGATCCCAGAACCAGACAAAACCAGACCTCAATCCAAACCCCACCAGAAAGAATTACAAACCAATATTCTTGATGAACATGGATGCAAAAATTCTCACCAAGAAACTAGCCAGTAGGATCCAACAGTATGTTAAAAAGAGTATTCACCACAACCAAGAGGGATTTATTCCTGGGCTGCAAGGGTGGTTCAACATCCACAAATCAATCATTGTGATATACTATGTTAATAAATGAAAGGACAAGAACTATATGATCCTCTCAAGAGATGCAGGGGGAAAAAAAAAAAACATCTGACAAAGTACAGGATACTTTCTTGATTAAAACTCTTCACAGTGTAGGGATAGAGAGAACATACCTCAATATCATAAAAGCCATATACAAAAGCCAACAGCAAAATTCTCAATGGGAAAAAGCAGAGCTTTTCCCCTAAGGGCAGGAACAGGACAGGGGTGTCCACTCTCACCACTGTTGTCTAACATTGTACTAGAAGACCTAGCCTTAGCAATCAGTTAACAAAAAGAAATAAAAGACACCCAAATCAGCAAAGAAGTCAAACTCTCTTCACAGATGACATGATATTCTATGTGAAAAACCCAAAAGACTCCACCCCAAAATTGCTAGAACTCATACAGGAATTCAGCAACATGGCAGGAGATAAAGTCAAGGCACAGAAATCAGTTATATTTCTATATACTAACCATGAGACAGAAGAAAGAAATTAAGGAGTCGACCCCATTTACAATTGCACCAAAAACCGTAAGATACCTAGGAATAACCAAAGAGGGAAAGGATATGTACTCTGAAAGTTATCGAGCACTCATGAAAGAAATTGAAGACACGAAGAAATGGAAAAGTTCCATGCTCATGGGTTGGAAGAACAAATATTGTTAAAATGTTTATGCTTCCCAGAGCAATCTACACATTACTATCAAAATACCACCGACATTTTTCACAGAGCTGGAACAAATAATCCTAAAATTTATGTGAAACCAGAAAAGACACTGAATAGCCACAGGAATGTAGAAAAAGAAAACCAAACCTGATGGCATCACAATTTCAGACTTCAAGTTCTATGACAAAGCTGTAATCATCAAGGCAGCCTGGTACTCGCCCAAAAGCAGACACATAGATCAGGGGAACAGAATAGAGAATCCAGAAATGGACCCTCAACTCTATGGTCAACTAATCTTCAACAAAGCAGGAAAGAACGTTCAATGGAAAAAGACAGTCTCTTCAACAAATGGTGTTGGAAAATTGGACAGCCACATGCAGAAGAATGAAATGGACCATTTTCTTATACTATACACAAAAATAGCCTCAAAACAATGAAAGACCTAAACAGGAGACAGGAATCTATCAAAATCCTAGAGGAGAACACAGGCAGCAACCTCTGTGACCTTGGCCGCAGCAACTTCTTGCTAGACACGTCTCCAAAGGCAAAAGGAACCATTGGGACTTCAAGATAAAAAGCTTTTGGGGCGGGGGCACCTGGGTGGCTCAGTGGGTTAAGCCTCTGACTTTGGCTCAGGCCATGATCTCAGGGTCCTGAGATCCAGCCAAGCATTGGGCTCTCTGCTCAGCGGGAAGCCTGCTTCTCTCTCTCCCACTCCCTCTGCTTGTGTTCCCTCTCTCTCTGTGTCTCTGTCAAATAAATAAATAAAATCTTTTTTAAAAAAAGATAAAAACTTT